TGTTGTCTCTTATGTTTATTTGGTTTTAATTATAAGGGTATTTAAGTATATTTAAATGGTTTTCTGCTATATTTGAAAGAAATTATAAAAAATGACATTTATGAAATTAAGTGTTAAATTTTGGATGTTAATGATAAATTCTCTCGTACGAATGTGGTTTTTCTTTTTTGCATGCTTTTACTTGTTTTTGGCAAATATGCATTCTAAAATGGTTACACAAAATTACAAACAAAACAAATCATTTCATATACTAAATCAAAATGCAAATGTCTTGGCACTTTGTAAACAAAAAAACACGATCCAAATTACAAATCCTGGGCAGCAGTTCCTTGGGAAATGAATCCATGGCAGCACGGTTCCTTTGGAAATCCTTTTCAAATAGCAAATACAATTCAAATTATCATTATTGATGACACGCCCCCATCCCGATATCCTCGGGATATCGGGATAGGGGCGTGTCAGATTGGTATCAGAGCCTAACCCTGGCCGTGGTGTGCCGACGAGGACGTCGGGCCCCTAAGGGGGTGGATTGTAAGATCCCACATCGCCCAGGGGAGTGATCCTTAAATGTATATTCACATCCTTACCTAGCACGATACCTTTTGGGAGCTCACTGGCTTCGGGTTCCGTAGGAACTTTGAAGTTAAGCGAGAAGGAGGCCAGAGCATTCCCAGGATGGGTGACCCATTGGGAAGTTGCTCGTGAGTTCCCAGAAACAAAATCGTGAGGGCGTGGTAAGCTCAAAGCGGACAATATCGTGCTACGGTGGTGGAGCGGGCCCGGGAAGTGGTTTGCCCCGGGCCGGGATGTGACAATTGATGCACAAAACCAGAGGTTTTGGAACAACGTAAATCCGACCGTGAATATGCAAGAAAGTAAATAACACAAGATGTATCGTGGTTCATCCCAAGCTTTGGGCTACGTCCACACTAATATTATATTTATCTGAGAGGTGAGGGAGAGAATGTGAGGGTCTTTGTAATGAGAGTGAGGCTTTGAGAGGGAGTGAAAGGGCCTAGGAATTGGTCTCTCTTAATTGTGAGGGTAATGAGTCCTTTTATAGAATAAGGGCTCATCACTTATTACATATTTGCCCATTCCTTTATTACATAATTACATTTAAGTCCCCCAAGTATTTGTACGAGATCTAAATACGGAGGTCATAAGTATGGTATAAACAGTAATCCCCCAAGTCTTCAGTCAAGAGAGTCTTTTGGCTGGAGACTTGAAATTCAGTCCATGTGTGGGCCGAAGTAACTAGATGTTGTCTTGAACTGATGCTCGATATGAGGCGGTGCTCAATCTGAAATGATGCTCAACTAGAAGTAACACATGTTGCGAGGCTGCTTGGCTCGTGGCTTATGTTACCTTGGTTGGCTCGGCTTGTGGCGTTGAAGGTGAGAGAGTCCCTTTTATAGAATAAGGGATCGCTCCTCAATACATGAATAATGGGCTAGAGTGGATGTTCTCTAATGATGGTGAGGGAGTCCCTTTTATAGAATAAGGGTTCGCTCCTCAATACATAAGTGATGGGCTAGGAGTAATGCTCGCGGCGAGGCGGTTGCTCAGCTGGCGGCGTTGCTTTCTAATGAAGGTGAGAGAGTCCATTTTATAAAATAAGGGCTCGCTCCTCAGTACATGAATAATGGATTAGGAGTGATGCTCGCGGCGAGGCGGTTGCTCAGTTGGCAGCGATGATCTCTAATGAAGGTGAGAGAGTCCTTTTTATAAAATAAGGGCTCGCTCCTCAGTACATGAATAATGGGTGCTCTCTAATGAAAGTGAGGATGTCATTTATAGAATAAGGGCTCGCTCTTCAATGCATAAATAGTGGGCTACGTCCCTCAAGTATTTTTCATGAGGCCCAATTGAGGCCTAATATATGGTACATAATGTAGTCCCCTAAGTCTTCGGTTAATAAAGGCTGTTGGCTGGAGACTTCAAATTCAATCCATGTATGGGCCGAAATGGCGGTTGCTCAGATGCAGTCTTTGTAGACCATGCACTGAAACTTTGTAGGTGAAGCTTTGCAAGTTGAAGCTTTGAAGCTAGAGCTCTGTAAATGAAGCTTTTGAAGCTAGAGCTCTGTAAATGACGCTTTCGAAGCTAGAGCTTTTGTAAATGAAGCTTTTGAAGCTGATTGACATGAGTAATGCTCATGAATGTTTATGTTGATTGGCATGAGTGATGCTCATGGATGTTGACATGAGTGATGCTCATGAATGTTTATGTATGATTGACATGAGTAATGCTCATGTATAATTTGAAGTATTGGGCGTACTTTTGATCACCTGGTTGGTGGTAATAGTGACAGGTTGCCGAATAATTTTGGAGTACTGAGCGTACTTTTGATCACCTGGTTGGTGCTATTTTGGGCTTATGGGCCTTCGCCTTCCACACAACATTCCAGCCCATTTATTTTGGGTTTTGCCGTTTTTTTATTACCCTCTAATAGGGTTATACATATGTCTCCGAAAGATAAGAAAAATAAATTACATAATTCAAAACAAAGGTTTCGATAGTTGCAGATCGTTGGTGCGTACTGTACTTACTGCGTACTGGGTTGTTGCAGATCTTTTTCCATGTGCGTATTCCAGTGGCTTCTTCAGAAAAGTGGGAACATGCATGATGAAAGTTTTCTTTTTCAAAAGTTGATGGCATCTTCTGCTTTGCTTTTCCTTTTGTTTTTGATTTTCTGCAATTATGTCCGAGACTGATTGAGTAGTGGGTTGTTTCATCATTCTCTGGTGGCTTAGAGAAGTAATAATGATAAAGCAAAATAATAAAGAAAAATGAGTCTTATCTGCAATCACGGAAGAATCAATTTTTTTTTGGTAGCCCAACCCTTTGTTCGTCAGCAGTTAATTTGTGTGTGTTGTCCACGTCGGCTTTTCCAAAAAAGCTTCTTTAGTTTATCTCTTTCTCCAAATTTCAGAAAAGCACTGATAAAGCTTATAAGGCATGTGAAGCTCAAATGCGACTTGGATTGCTGAGAAAAGTCGGCATCTAATACAACATTTTCCAACTCTTGATTCTTTAAAACATATTCCTCATCCTCTATGATGGGCCGTATCTAGGTGGTGGATCTTTCTGGTGAAAGAGGGATCCATCACTGATCCCCAGCAAAAGTAAGCCATGCATGATTCCTTGAAGGAATGAGTGGAGACTTCCTAAGCAGCCTAGACACACTTATTAGTAGTTGCATCAATGAGTGAGCTGCTACAGTTGCTGAAACTCCCACCAGATACTCGAAGGCGTTGGCAAATGACCACTTTGAGTTGACGGGGAGCGGAAATCCGTAGATGTACACAGTGGTCGCCCTCTGGCTGTCACCATGAACAACATCGCCGTCACCGAGGCCACCATGCACAATGCCCTTAAGCACAAATGCGCCACTTCAGCTCTCTGACAAACGGCTTGAGGACCTTCATATCATGCACAACGACCGTGAGGACCTTAGGTTAATGCCAGCCACCACGCGTCCGCTGCGGCCTCCAATTGAATTAGGAGCAACTGGAGCGCAGTATAAGCCCGTGTAGGAGCAAACGTTGGAGCCATTCTAGGTGGTGGTGAAGTTGAAAGGGTCGGAGAAGATGGATGAATTCCAAGCTTAGAGGGCAACGTAGGCTTGGCGAAGCTTTGGGTTCTCAAACTGGAGAAGGCTTGGATCTACTGCTTTGACAACTTCATCAGTAGTAACAGCAGTACTAGTACTGGCGGATGCGCAGGCCAACAAAACAAACAGCAGAGGCAGGAGGGGGAGAGGTGCCTCCTAGAATATGGAGGAGGATGAGACATTGACATTGGTGAGTGAGATGGAGCAGATGGCAGGCAGACAGTCAGTCACATGTGTCTCTCCATTTTTTTTTTTAAATTAGAAGCAGCTACTGCACAGAGAGAGAGAGCTCTGTGTTTGTGTCTCTGGGTTTTGCAGATCCACAATGGACAATGGTGAGGTTGTGAAGATTTCACGGTGGTGAGATGAAAAAATGAAATAGAACCAACATAGCTTTTTGTGTCGATTCCCACAGACGGCGCCAAATGTTGATGCACAAAACCAGAGGTCTTGGAACAACGTAAATCCGACCGTGAATCTACAAGAAAGTAAATAACACAAGATGTATCGTGGTTCACCCCAAGGTTTGTGCTACGTCCACACTGATATTGTATTTATCTGAGTGGCGAGGGAGAGAATGTGAGAGCCTCTATAATGAGAGTGAGGCTTTGAGAGGGGGTGAGAGGGCCTAGGAATTGGCCTCCCCTAATTATGAGGGTGAGCAGTCCTTTTATAGAATAAGGGCTCCTCACTTATTACATATTTGCCCATTCCTTTATTACATAATTACATTTAAGTCCCCCGAGTATTTATACAAGATCTAAATACAGAGGTCTTAAGTATGGTATAAACAATCATATTATAGAAAAAATACATTTCAAATTGTTAGGGAAACTGTTGAAAAATTACATGAATAAAGAAAAAGGGAACCAAATAGCAATAAACAGAACCAACAACATCCACATGGATTAAGCCATAGCCTTTTCTATCATCTGTTGGAGAATAAGTTAAGTTTTAAATTAGTCTCCTTGATTCTTAAGAAACCTTTTGTAGTTGGCTTGATAACCACATCAAATGACCCAGTGATAAGGACGTGAACTACGACTCTTCAATAAATAAATAAATGTGGGAAGGTCCCGGGTTTGATACTCTAAGATGTTGAGTCTGCTTGACTGTGGTCAGAGGTAGGGTGAAATTCCGCATAGACTCTCCGGGTCCGAAATGAGTGACTTGCAACCAGTTGTCTTCTTTTTCTAAAAATAAAAAATAAAAAATAAAATAACAATCTCAAAAAGTGAGGCCCATATAGAATAGCGGGCTTTTTGTTGTTGGTTTAAAGTGGACTGGACTGGACTCTCTGGTGTTTCGGAAGAGAGATTAAAACGACGTCGTAGCGAACGAAACCCTTCCGATTTGGCGCAGTCGGTTTTGAGCTGCCGAAGCAAAATTTTATGTGTTTGCAATTGTGAACATTGGAGACTCGCACTTTCACTTTTTACAGTAAGCACCTTCTACTACTCTCGTTTTCTTCCCTTCTTCATCCAAAGATCCGATCTAGGGTTTATCTAGGGTTTCTGCTCCATCTCTCTCTCTCTCTCTTCGATGACCATGTCCTCTCAGACCCCCGATATCTTGGGCGACCGTCAGTACGGTCAGGACGTCCGCACTCAAAATGGTTCTGCCTCTCTCTCCCCTCTGGGTTTTCCATTTTAGGGTTTCGTACTGAAATGCTGCTAATTTTGTCCGACTTTGTTTTGGTGAACACAGTGATGGCCTGCCAAGCTGTTGCAAACATTGTCAAATCTTCACTCGGCCCCGTTGGCCTCGACAAGGTCTCTCTCTCTCTCTCTCTCTCTCTCTCTCTCTATATGTATATTTGTATGAATCTGAGATGTTATGGGCGTTTAAGGTTTCAGTTGGGCTATTACTACTTTATACTTCTAGTAACGTTGTTTGGTGTCCTTTACTACTTAAAAGCTTCAAAATTTTCAGTCAATGTTTGATTTGTCATCAATAGTTCTTCTGTAGAAGTGCTTTTACTCATTAGTGATTTTGGTAATTTCAAAATTTTTATTGAAACCCTATGACATTCCCTTATTTTTCTAAAAAAAATCACTTCCAAGGAGAAGCAATGCTTCTTCATATAATTACTTAAAGTGATTTAATTCTTATATAAATCACTCTTCAATTTTTTCTAAGCACTCTATTAGTGCTTTCGCTCGCCCTAATCACTCCTAAACAGTGGTATGGAGTTTCATTCTTTTATTTGTTGTCCTTATGGTGAATTTGTATGCTTAAAAATCAATGGTGGAGTTGATGTTTGTCTAATGGAAGGGTTTCAGCTAGTTGAGCAGGCCCCTCATAGTGGAGTCGATGCTTAAAATAACTAGTGAATTCGTATGCCTAATTGTATAATATTATAAATTATGTATGCATGGGTTTCAGCTAGTTTACTATGTTTATTGATTGGTCATTTCAGATGCTTGTCGATGATATTGGTGATGTGACTATTACTAATGATGGAGCCACTATACTCAAGATGTTAGAAGTTGAGCATCCTGCTGCCAAGGTGTGTGGAAGTTGGTTATTTCTTGCAAATATGATAATATAGATGCGTTTATACATGTCTGACAATGCATTTATACATGTGTAGGTGCTTGTGGAGTTGGCTGAGCTCCAAGATCGAGAAGTTGGAGATGGGACGACGTCAGTGGTGATTGTAGCTGCAGAGTTGCTTAAGGTAATCCTATCTGTTTTTTTTAACTCACCCCACATGCTTTTTTAGAAGCAATATTATGTTCTAAAGGATTTTTTTTTTTTAACTGGGTAATCAATGGTTTGCTTCTAATTCTGCAGAGAGCAAATGATCTTGTAAGGAATAAGATTCACCCAACATCCATAATCAGTGGTTACAGAGTGAGCACCTCTTCTTGTTTCTTTTTCTATTTTTGATTCAATATTTAGCAACAGCATATACTTGTAAAATATTTTGTGGCTTATAACATGGTGCTGTTCTTTTGTATTTGGACCCCTTATGTCTGACCGTATCACCCTCTGTGCAGCTTGCTATGAGGGAAGCATGCAAATATGTTGAGGAAAAATTAGCTGTGAAGGTAAGGTTCCTCCAGTAAATTCTTTTTTCAATGTGTGCAGTAAAAGGGTCTCTTGTTATTGGAATAAATTTCACTTTGGCTGTACAGAATACGTCGGAATTCTTTTCTGAATTTTTTTAGAGGTTTGGAAGGATCGCATATAGTGTGGAAAGAAATTAATAGTTCTGAACATTCAATTGACTCTTGCCAAAAAGGCTTACTGCTCGTACATTCATAGTCATAATTCATTGATAGTGTCTAGGCATTAAGCTTTGACATACAGAAATGTGTGGTTCATTTGTAAAACATTTGATACAAAAAATATTACTGTTTGTTTAATTGATTGTACCTTGATTTTCCTAGGTTGACAAGCTTGGAAAAGATTCTCTAGTAAATTGTGCAAAGACAAGCATGTCCTCAAAGTTGATAGGCGGTGACAGTGACTTCTTTGCAAATATGGTATGCTATTTTGAATTTATATTTCGTTAGAAATGAATGTTAAATGAATTGAATTTATTTTCGTAAGGGCTAATGTTGCTGGATTTGTCACTCATATGAATTCCTTTTCTCATGTAGAGTTAAATAGTTGGCAAATCTTATCTGCGGTTTCAGGAGCAGAAGTTAAACCCTTTGGTTTTTTTTTTTTTTTTTTTTTTTTTTCCTGTGCGTGTTTTAACGATCCTAGTATACAATTGCTTTTTCTAGGTTGTCGATGCAGTACAAGCTGTAAAGATGACCAATGCTCGGGGGGAAGTCAAGTACCCAATCAAGGTTGGTACTTGGTAGTTATGTATCCACATGGTAGTGAAGTTTCCATCATGTGCTCATATGCTTCCTTATATTATTCTATCTTTTCTTTGTTATTGCTTTAGTACTTTGTCTTAGTTGCTCTTTTTTTCTTCAGGGGATTAATGTTTTGAAAGCTCATGGAAAAAGTGCAAGAGATAGCTATCTCTTAACTGGTTTTGCACTAAATACAGGCCGTGCTGCACAAGGAATGCCACTTAGAGTTTCCCCTGCAAAGATTGCCTGTCTTGACTTTAATCTTCAGAAAACCAAAATGCAAATGGGTGTCCAAGTTTTAGTTAGTGATCCCAGGGAGCTTGAAAAAATTCGCCAAAGGTGATAAGATGATCGACCTTAATTTATACATCATATCATTGCATGTGTATATCACGTAACCAGCTTTGCACCCTGTCCATAGCATGTTGTTGGAGGGTATGAACACAGTTTAGCATGCTGTGGTATAGAATAGGTGATTCTGCTGTGATATTATGTAGTCCTTTTCTCCATACCGCTAAAAAGACTTGGCTTAATCACCCTTTAATCATTGAAATTGTTAGGCCCATATTGAATTATGGAATGTACCTAGGATTCAAAAACTGCTATGAATCCTCGAACATAATGGTAACTGCCTCAAATAGATAGGCTTGGTAAGTTAAGGATGTTACTGATCATTGCTTACACTTGGGAAAGGATTTGAATCACTTTTTCTGTATTGATGATTGTCATTATGTTAAAAAGCCATCTATTGATGCTTTATTGTGTGTTTGGTAATGTATTGATGATATGTATATCTCTACAGAGAAGCTGATATGACAAAAGAGCGTATTGAAAAACTTCTGAAAGCTGGAGCAAATGTTATTCTGACTACAAAGGGGATTGATGACATGGCACTCAAGGCAAGATTCTTTTGTGATTTGTTTCTCTAACTTTTTTAGACAAGCCACAACTGATATTCAATTTTACAGTTCTAGATTATTAGCACTCCAAAAAAATCATCCTGCGGTCCTCCCCCTTTTATTTTGTTTGTCACTAAGGAGTGCAGGAAGACTTTGATGGAGTGCCAATAGCAGATCCCTTATTATCATTTTTTTTTTAATTTTATATTATGGTTAATGTTAGCTTGGTCATACACCTTTGGACCAGGCCAAAGATTTGAATGGCTGAACACTCACAGTTAATGTTTTTGGCGATACTTTTTTTGTAGGTTCCTTTCTTATTTGAAAATTGTGTATGATCTTTATGATATGTTACTCTTATCCACTTCAATACATCTTTAGGACTATAAAATATGCTGTTGTTTAATACAAAAATGCAGAAGCTTGAGGTCTCAAAGTAACCATGTTATGAAACTAACGAGTAGTTGTACTGTCTTTATTTTAACTTCTTTGTTGTTCTTCGGTATAGAAAGAAATATGATTTATATATTGGCGGTGTGGGTATATGTAGAGTCTTCTATGTGGCTTCACTGTTGTTAGTGTGCAATCTATCTACAATGAGTGTTTATCAATGCACCGGGTGTATTAAGCTCATCAATTGCATTAACTTTATATCCTTGGTTGTTTTTTCAGTATTTTGTGGAGGCTGGGGCTATCGCTGTAAGACGTGTTCAGAAAGAAGATATGCGCCATGTTGCTAAGGCTACAGGTGCAACAATGGTAAAATTCTTCATGTCTTCTCTAATAATACAATTGTCTTGCAGAGTAATTTTCCTTTGGAATCATCACGTGTCATATCCTGATCAGCCTATAAATTGAAAACAATACATGAATATGTAAATATTTTTTGTGAAGAACCTAAACCCAAATTTAGGGTGGAATACTTGATAACAGTACATCAGTGGACTCTTGAAAACACTACGTCGGTATACTACTAAACAATTCTTAATTGAAAACAATCAATCAGTGGACTACTTGTTCACTCATGTTGTATTTGTTTTTTATTGTCAAAAAGTAGATCCATATGCTGTATAACTATGTCATCTTGTGTTTTTTAATCTGTAGGTTTCAACTTTCGCTGATATGGAAGGGGAGGAAACATTTGATACGTCACTTCTTGGATCTGCCGATGAAGTTGTGGAGGAGCGCATTTCTGATGATGATGTGATTTTGATAAAAGGAACAAAAAATAACAGTGCGGTGAGTGAGTTCAATTAAATTTTTAACATTTTTCCCTGCTTGACTTGAGTTCTTATTCCTGAAGTTTTTGTGAAGTTTTTGTGAAGTTTATGCATTTATGTGTAGGACATGACTTAGATAAGTGCGCATAACCGTGACCAATCTATTCAAGAAGTAATGAAGTTACACGAGTATTACATTTTCTATAATCATATGGTATGGACTGATTTTTTCAATATATTATTTTCAGGTGTCATTGATCCTCAGAGGTGCAAATGACTATATGCTTGATGAGATGGAAAGAGCCCTTCATGATGCTTTGTCTATTGTCAAGAGGACTCTAGAATCTAACATGGTAAAATTTGGCACTTCCTGAGTTCTTTCTCCATTGTTTAAAATGGGTTGGTGATCTTTTCTTTTAATGGTGTGCATTGTTTGGTAGTGGTGATAAATTAATTATTGTTTTTCTTTAATTATTATGATTGCAAGAAATTTATGGAATACATTGTCTTTGAGTATTTGTGGTCCTTTTCTTTTAAAAGATATCGTAGATCCTATATCAGCAACTGGATTGTTGATGCTTTTGTCCCTTTCCTCCATTTACTTGGGCTTTTCGATTAGATAACACATAGTAACATCTATTTAATACATCAATGACAAGAAAGGATCAGAACATTTTAAATTCACTCTCCTGAGCGGTAGGCAAGTGCCTTCGCCCATGAGCGGTAGGTCTCGGGTTTGAGACTTGGGAGCAGCCTCTTCATAAATGGGGGTAAGGTTAGCCGACATTCACCTCTCCCAGACCCTGCGTAAAGCGGGAGCCTTGTGCACTGGGTACGACCTTTTTTTGCTATTAATAAGGTACCTTTTCATGAGAAATGGATTTTGTCTGTTTACTTGATTTGTGCAATGAGAGGTCGCACTTGGTGTGGCAAGTGCCTTTGCCCATGAGCGGTAGGTCTCGGGTTCGAGACTTGAGAGCAGCCTCTCCATAAATGGGGGTAAGGCTAGCCGACATTCACCTCTCACAGACCCTGCGTAAAGCGGGAGCCTTGTGCACTGGGTACGACCTTTTTACTTGATTTGTGCAATGCAATTTTTTTTTTTGTAATTCTTCCGAATCATGAGTGCGTGCGTGTGTGTGTGTGTTGGATGGGGGAGGTGTGGGAGAACTTAAAATGTATTTTTCAATGGAAAGAAAAAGATAAAACTGGGAAGGTTTCACCACCGAGCTTGATGATCGTGGGTTCTTTATGAGTTTCTTGTTATTTACATTCATTGGTATAATACCATACAGGTGGTACCAGGTGGAGGTGCAGTTGAGTCCGCATTGTCTGTGTATTTGGAGAGCTTTGCTACAACATTAGGATCACGTGAGCAGTTGGCAATTGCTGAGTTTGCTGAAGCTTTGTTGATTATACCAAAGGTTCTAAACATCTTAGAGCATGTTGTGTTTTAGTGGTCTTTCTGCTATTCTTGTCTGTTAATGGTGTTTGTATTGTGACTTTTATCTGGTTTAGGTGCTTGCCGTCAATGCTGCCAAGGATTCTACAGATCTAGTTTCAATACTACGGGCCAACCACCACAGGGCACAAACCAAGACAACAACCAAGACTGACAAGAAGGATAAGGATTATTCTAGGTATTCTGATTATTGCCGTGGCAATTCTTCCCCGATTGCACATTTTTTTCTTTTGGGGAATGCTTACTGTCAGTGTTGATTTCCTTTTTGGTTTCCGTAGTCCTCTTTGTTTATGGTGTGTCTTTATATTGAATTTTATGGCATTGTGATTATATATTCAACTGAAATTATTCTGTCTTGGATGCATAGATTGCACATTCTGTGACTGAATACTTATCGGGATTGCTTTAAAATTGTTGCAGCATGGGCTTAGACCTATTAAAGGGAGAAGTTCGTAACAACCTTGAAGCCGGAGTCATTGAGCCTGCAATGAGTAAAGTGAAGATAATTCAGGTACAAAATCCTAGATACAAATCAGTAATAATTTTGGATAAGTCTTGTTCAATTAACAGCCTTGCAATGTTTGTTAACTTGAAACATTTTTTGTTTGGCAGTTTGCAACTGAAGCAGCTATTACCATTCTCCGAATTGATGACATGATCAGGCTAGTCAAGGATGAAAGTCAAGAGGGTTAAGATGCGTGGAGTACCATTTGACCCTCTGATTTTGAAGCAGAAGGGTGGGAAGCGAATCTGTGCTCGGTATATTCGTTCCATGCGCTAAAGATGAAGGATTTTGTTCGTGTAGTTGTGGGTGGGAATTGCTATTAAACTCTAATTTTCGGCAAACGGTTTTCTAGTTGAAGGGAGTGGTTTTGGGTGTGATGGAGAAGGGATGGTGGCTTTCCCCTTGAACACACAAACGTGAAATGTTTTGTATGATTAGGTGACTGGATGGTTGTAATGGCTATATTTTCCAAACATACATATCAAACTTTTTCTGTGGCGAAATGGCGTGGTCCTTGTTTAGCTTCTCTAACTTTTATACATGTTGAATGATTTTCTGTATCGAAATGATTTTCGAAACACACTTGTTCGCTCCTCCTCAAGGGAGGAGGAGGGGACCGGGACCAGAACAAGAACTCGGGTGCAAGGGCGAACCTTTTAAACCCATTCAACGACAAGCGACTCTAAACACTCCCGATTGTTAGCCGATAGAAAACGCTTATCAGAACCTAAAAGGTTATCTCATAAGCTAAACAAATTCAGTTTCTTTGGAACCCAAAAATTAAGCCAGCCAGTCCTATGAACGCGCCACAATTGGTGGTGCAGCGCCCGCAAGCGTGTTTGTTTGAGGAGTGTTTTTCCGACAGCAGATGGATGCCAAAATCTTGTTCCAAAATTTTCAATGACTATGAGCACGACCTCTTCTTGTTTGGCACATTGGTTTAATGACTTGCCATCAATATGAAACTACATCTTTATCACTACATCTTTATCTTCTTATATATAAAGTCAAGGGCCCAATGAACAGTGTTTTTTGCTGTCACAAGTTTCACAAAAAATAATTGGACATAAATGCCCCTCAAATAAATACCTCTGCACGCACATGAGCGCATGCATAAATGCTAGTTTATATATAAAGCCAAGGGCTCAATGAACAGTGTTTTTAGTGTCCCAAGCTTCACCAAAATAATTGGACAGAAATGTCCCTCAAATAAAAAACTTCAAAAGCAACAAAAAATAATGCATCAAATATTTATTTATTTGTTTACATTTTTTACTCTTTTACAATAATTGTTATTAATTTTGCACTCAAATAAAAAACATTATTCATGAGATTTGGAGGGTTTAAAAATCTAAACAACCATGTAACCATCGTCTAAGCGTAGAGGATGCAATTACGAGCATTTATATATGCTTTCACATTTTTTAGACTCATACATTAATGAATATATAAAATATTTATTTTGAACGCCCTTAAAAGTACTATTCATGAGGGTTTGTATGGTTTTAAAAATTCAAAAATGATAATGTACCCATCCTCAAAGTGTAGAAGATGCGATTACGAGTGTTTACATATTTTTTTTAACATTTTTTGCACTTGTAAATTAATTATTATAATTTTTTTGATGTGTCTTGTATTTTTAAATTACTTGATATTTTTATTTTTAATGTGTTTTATAATTTTTTAATCTCACTTTTTGCATATAGTATACAATAAAAATAAATAAATAAATAAAACTTAAAATTTTAAAATTTATATCAATAATAATACAATAATAACTAATAAACAATAGATACATATCCACTATATCTATTGTATTCTACAATACGTTTTTTTAGTAGTTTAAAAAATTAAAATCATCAAAATATTTTTTTTCTTTTTGTGTCGAAACTGATTACCTGTAAGATCCCACATCGCCCAGGGGTGAGGATCCTGTAAGCCTTATATGAATATTCCCATCTCTACCTAGTACGAGGCTTTTTGGAAGCTCACTGGCTTTGGGTACCGTAGGAACTCCGAAATTAATCGAGTTCGCACGAGAGCAATCCTATGATGGGTGACCCACTGGGAAGTTCTCCTGTGAGTTTCCATAAACAAAACCGTGAGGGCGTGGTCGAGGCCCAAATCGGACAATATTGTGCTACGGAGGAGTCGAGCCTGGGATGTGGTGGGGGCCCGGGCCGGGATGTGACATTACCTGCATGTTACTCTCGTGTAAACCTGTTAAGGACCCGTTGTTAACAGGTTCTTATCGTGTGACCCAATATCGACCCAATTAGTTATCGTGTTGACCCTAAACCCGTTATTTTCGTGTCGTGTTAACGGGTCGGGTAAGGAATTGCCAGGTGTGTGTGTGTGTGTGTGTATATATATATATATTTATTTGGAGAGAGATTATAAAAGAAATAGGGTGGAAGAAATACATGGTGATTTAGGCGTGATCAAGGAGCTTGTTCAAGTACGTGGAGTCTAGCTATTGCGGTAATGATGTGGATCTTCGTTTTAGCTTTGGAGTTCAGGTAGGGGAAATACAGCAGACCTTGATGGAAATTGATTTTATTAAATTTCATGAAATAATATTCTCGATTTGTTTGGTTGATTAATGTGGTTGGATATTTATTGGCTAATTGCTTCAATTGAGTGTTTACTTGTTATTGGTTATGGAATTATTGTTGAAATACTATTTGTTGAGAATATATTGTGATACTTGTGAAAGATGAAATAACATTGTTTGTGCATCACTCATGTTGATGTTGTGAGGACCTGTCCCTAATTTCCCATGTAACTTTCTCCCTGAGTGTGTAAATTGACATTTATGCCCTTATGGGCAAAGTTCCATGGACGTGGTTATTCGGCTTTAGTTTGTTTTTCTCGTTATCGTAATTAATTAGTACTCGTTGTTACGATCGTGTAAGCACGAATTAGACTCGAATCGGATCTGTAACGAAAAAGTTATGCACAGTTAAAATACGTTAATAAAGGGTAGAGTTGTATACACATGTGTTAATTTATCAGTGTTGGAAACATTGTTTTTGATAAGGTGATGAATTTTTGTGTATGACTTACTGTACAAAATCTGAAAACCTTATCGTTTTTCTTCTTTAAAATTGAGCTGTGTACCCATTCCCCTCACCAATCAGTTCATTTCCTCAATTCCTTCACCCAATCAGATTTTCTTTCTTTTCCACCAATCAGATCACTCTCTCTCCTCTCTGCCCAATCAAAAAGCTATATATATATATATATATATATATATATATATATATATATATATATATATATATATATATATATATATATCTCTCTCTCTCTCTCTCTCTCTCTCTCTCTCTCTCTCACACACATTCTCCTTCTCTCACTCCTTCGCCCATGACTCTCTCCCTTCTGCGACACACACACCATCACACTCATCTCGAACCCACGAAACTAGCTGTACAAGCCAATTCGAAATGATCGAGTTTTGACATGTCAACTCGGAAGCTCCGACTCGGTGGGTTTTACTCGGACGTGTTTCCAGCCGTGTTCCATGGTTTTGGGAGTCTTGGAAGCTTCTAGGTTACTCCCCGAGGCCATTAGCCTAGTCTTGAAGTGGAGCTGACGAGGAGACCCTCATGTTTGAGACAACGAAAGTAAGGCTGAGAGTGTCGAGTGGATTTTGATCCACTTTCGTCCACCTTTTGGACTTTTAAGAGGTAAAATCTTATTCTCATCTCCCCGGGCTTCAAATCCATATAAAGTTCGTTAAAAATGGTTGACAAAAGAAAAAGTTATGGTGTTTTGAAAATTTTCCAGAAACCGGCGAGATTTCCCCGGTTTCCGACAAACCAGACGGCGGAGGAAGACCAGAGAAGAAGGGGAATATTTTGTTAAAGTTAACAGAGTATTCTAACGCCGTTAGACTTAACGGAATATTCCGTTAGATTTTGACGGAATATTCCCTGAAATCTGTTAGCTTTTGTCAGCGCGTGCCTGCCGTGTCCCGAGCGTGTGGCTGTGTCTTGATGGTGCGTCCGGCCACTGGCCGGCGTGTGCTTGACTTGTATGGGTCCATGACGCCAAGTTGAACATTTTTGTATATTTAAACCCTCCGTTTGAGCAAATTATGAGGGTTTTTCCTAGCCTCTTTGTGTATGTGTTAATTAATTAATTATTTTAGTTATTTCACATATAGGAGAAAATTATCTTGAAGAAGTACGAGGTCAAGCAAGGCAAGGAAGCTACGATTTGACCACGTATCAGTGAGTGGGCATTTGTTTTTATATATATGATATATAAAGTTTTATACTTTCCACAAATGTTTTTGAATTGATTCATGCCTATTATGCCATGATTAAATAATGTTATAAGAAATGTTGTATTGTGAAATGCTAAAATAATATTACATGCTGCGCATGTAAGTTTATTATGTTAACTAGAATTGTTGAATCGTTATGGCATACTTATATTTATGTAGTTTGCTCATCATTGCTGCACCCGGTGTTAGTGCTCGCCTAGGGCCAGGGCCAGTCTTTCGAGTGTATGTTAACATCTACACCGTACGCTCGCCTTGGATCCAAGTAGGTGTCAGTCATGTCGTACAGGTTGCAATAGGCAACTCCGACATCTTGTTGTACAGGTTGCAATAGGCAACTCTGACTCGTATGTGACCGCGAATAACGTCGATCTTCACGTGATTGTATCATTAGAGCGTATATTATGATTACACCCAGTCCTGTCGTATATGTTGCATTAGGCAACTCTGACTTGTGTGCTAGCATAGATTGATGAGCATTAGTTCAGTCGTACAGGTTGCATTAGGCGACTCCGACTTATGTGCTAGCATAGATCGATGAACTTCTGATTTTATTATGCTGCTGTTGAGATATTGTGATTGGCATATTTCTGGAATTATTGTTGATTTGCATTTGATTTCATACTTATACGTAGTATGATTTTCTGTAAACTATGCATGTTTTACAGTGAGGGGTTAGTATGTTAAAAAATAAATGTGTTTTATAATCCTTTGTTTTTGCCCACTCACCCTTCTGTTTTTTGCCGTTCCAGGTCTTAGATAGCTGAACTCTCTGTGCCATATGAGGAATCTCCGACGATTCTGACATAGCCTTAATAAATGTAGGACCTAATTCCGGTTGTGTATTAAGTACTTAAATAGTTTCGATTGCACACTCTTTTGTCATCTATACTCTGAACATTTGTGTTTTACGGGTTCTTCTCGCTATTGCGCATACACTTTATTAGCTTAAATAAATCCTAGTTTCGGTTTTAATTTATTCACATTTTTACATCACTTACATTTTGGTTACATCACCTTCGGGTGACGGCCAACATGCCTTGACTCCGGTCGGTGTGTGTCAGTTTGGTATCATAGCATAGGTTTTGGCAGTCCTGCATTCCTTGTATATGCTATAGGTTCTAATAATTTTTGATCTCTTATGTCAGATCATGCCACCTCGTAGAGCACCACATGTCCATTCTAAGATTAATTTTCCCAATTTTGGGCAACTCGATGAGGCGATCACCAGAGC